TTTTTTTTTTTTCTCTGTTCCTTTTTTTTTTGTTTGTTTTGTATTGTTTTTACAATCAACACCTTAGCGGCAGTTTTCTCACATACATTTCACCATCACATTCTCCTCGAGCATCAACTTCAACAGCTATGTCCACGTCCCTTCAGCTACTTCCTAAAATAATAATAAAAAGATACATAGCCAAGATGTGCAAATTTTCTATTTGTAGCTAAATAAAAAAAAAAAATGGGGCATATACTGGAATAAGAACTTCTTTCAAGTACTCCAATTTTCATATCTATTAACTATGGCGTTTTTTTTCATGGTTAGCCTGCTATTGAAAATGTCTAAGGGGCCAAATAGACTGCTTGGTTTTGGGTTTGTTCTCTGAAGCGTGTCCTTTTTCTTTAATAAGCTGTGTTAAAACTGCGACATCAAGGGTAGAACGATTCTTTTTTTCAAACAGGGGCGATTGCATTATTGTACAAATCATACTGGCCTTACGAACATCCTCTGCAATAAATATTCTTTTTAGCCTTAACTATAAATTATATATTTTAGTGTTTAAAAACCTTCAGTTGTAAAACATCTAGAGACAGTCCTTAAACTATGCGTCCTATACGTGAACCTTTAAGGCCCCTAATTTATAACCATGTGTTGGCACCAAAGGATTTCTAAACTTCAACTTTTCTATAGAAAAGGATAGGAAGATATCCTGGCAATTTGTGAATGCAATTTCTCTCACTGGAACACAACCTTCGGAAAAAAAAATCACCTTTCCTCTAACACCATAGTTAAATGCACTTGCTTTGCAATTCTGAGTTTGCGAACAAGCACTTAATATATTTCCAAACCATTCCATTAAAAAAAAAAAAAAAAAAAAAATTCCCACACAATAAAAGAATGTATTTCCTATATCTAATGGACTGAAAGTGCTTTGAATGGAATGGTTTTAGAATATTACAAACAAACAAAAAAAGACTAAACTGTGGATTGAACCTGACCATAATTAGGCTGAATATCTGTGGGGTCAGACCAGCATTTTTACACAGGTAACTACAAAAATATGAAGATTACAAAAATATAATATATTATGTCACTATTTCGGTTTCTCTTTATAATAGAGTATCGTATGAGTAGTACATTGGCCTTTCCCAACAACGCTAAGCTGGAACCCTACAAATGCACAGGCAATCCACAGGCACAAAAAAAAAAAAGATTAACATATAATAATGCTGTATACTAACATACACTAACTTATGGGTTACGTTAACCATTTATAAGGTGAAGAGGATAAAAAAAAAAACTAAGGAAATAAAATAAACATTTACAGATGAATTATAAAGTGACTAAATGCATAAGCAAGCAAGATACAGAAAAGCCTAGAACTGCGTTAAAGTTATGCTTTTTAAAGAAAAAAAGAATATTTCATTTACTATCTAAAAAAACCCTCTTCTACTTTAAAAATGGTTGGTTGGTTGGTTGGTTTTATATGTAAGAAATCAAATCTAATACCTCCCCTGGAGACATTTTGTGTGTTAATGCCTATTTTTACAACATACAGACAAGAACACTTTAATATAAAAACTAGTTGATTATTATTGTATAAAATCCTCTATTTTTGTAGCACAAACCCCTGGGGGCAATGCAAATACTATTTTTTTCCTTTTTTAAGACAGTTTTTGGGGTATTTTTTGTTTATTTGTTTGTTTGAAGTCACAGATGGAAGGGAGACAGAGCAAGAAAAAATATAACAAGACTGGTTTTCCCTTCTGGTATAAAAATGTCCTGGAGAAAAGGGTTTCTGGGGGGGAGATCCCGATGCTGATTCCTTCTCAGATGCCCTTTCTTTGCTTCTCTTGCCAAGCAAACCCATTAGAAGAAGTCCTCTTAAATGTTCACATCTCGCACATCAGTGGGTGTGCAGGAAAGGTCTGCTTCGTCCTCTACAGTCTTTGTTTCTGAAGATACGTTGTGCTGCTGTGCCTGGCGTAGACTGGATTCAAGGAGGGATTCAATCTGTTCTTGGCAGGCTCGTAAACAATCCTAGGGAAGATTAAGCGGGAGGAGAAAAAAGACCCAGGGTCCTTTAGAAAAATACTAACATCACAGACAAAATACCTTTTCTTGAAACGTCACAAGAAATGCAGTCGTATTATTTGGGAGTGTAGGAAGAGCAATGCTGAACTGTGCAAGGATTGATGAGGCACTCAAACTGCTGCAGAATGCTAACTGGCTCCAGCCTTCAGCAGTAACTCCTGCCATCTTCTATTTAACAGCCTCAGTGAGCAGCTCCACACGTGCTCCTCTGGCAACAATGTCATTTTGCTCCTTGAGTCAGCACACAGTGCTGCGTGCGTGGATGTGGTGCACACTCCTGTAGTGACACGGGCAATAGCCGCCCTGCCTGGCAGGACCTTGGATAAGAAAGCTCTTCAACAGAAGTGGCATGCACATGGATGCTTAGATACACAAAACTGAAGCTGCTACTATCTGCAGTAATGGGCAGCTCGGGTTAGCTAACTGATTTCTAACTCAAAAAGCACCTGAACAGAGAAAACCACCTGCGTGACCCCAATGTGCAGAGATCTTTTAGAAGCATCACTATGGTGCTGCCATGCTCTCAGTTTGCTACTGCATCCACCTGACAGCTCAGAGAGCTCTTTCCCAGCTTCACAGCCCATGTCTGGAGCTGAGTGCCCACTCTGGAAGGTGCCATGGCTGTGCTGTGCACCGGCTGCGGTTTGAATGGAGAGCAGCATGTGCCAGCAGGACCAGGTCTACTGTGGGAAAGGGGAACTTCCCCAGCCATTGAGCACACCACGAGCAGGCACATCCAAGTCTACCTACTGATGCACAGCAATTCCATTTGGAGAAGGCCTATCAGCTCAACCTGTCCGACCTCCTGCAAACTACGACTGCATTCTTCAGAGCCACGCACATCCACTGCAAGGGCACAGAACTGGTGCCTCAACAGGCACAACAATCCCACTGTTTTGCCAAAATTCCTCCAGCTTGCTGTTTACTCTTATCTATACAACAAATATCGTAAGCTTTTTCCCAACATATTTAACTCTGTGTCTGAAGGACTTTGAAGTTTCCTTTCAGTACTGCCTTTTCTGATTTAACCTATGACATGTGTTAGCCCTTGCGGTGAACCCAGTCTTCCATGATAAATTGCCGTCAAAAGTGTTAGGATGTGCATGACTGAGAATGAATGTTGTTTTCCTGAGAGGGTGACCTGCCTGCTGTTTTCTTTATTTCCCAGTTTCAATTCTGCCTTCATTCAGAGGCTTCTTGTGTGATCTACCAGCTTTTCACTGATTCCACTACCACAAGAATCTCCTCTGCCACCAATAAGGGCACATGGCATTTGGGGTAAAATAAGATTAGAAACCCAAGCAAACAATTCTCTGCGAGGCCTTTCTGAGAGAGAGGGAGGTTAATCCTACCTCTAAGCAGATCAGACCATCAGTTACAGCTCACTGAAAACACATAACCTATGACCTTTCTTGGTTTAAACCCTAGTGTAATATTTCCTCTTGACAGAGACACACAGCGTTTTAAATGACAAAAAGAGACGCCTCATATCCTGAAGTCATGATGCCTTTGGCTCCTGCATTCCTCTGGCCTTCCCACTAAGTTCCCTGTGAAGCCCCTCACCCCTTCCCAAGATATGACAGATCAATCCTGTCTGTGCGGCTGCTGCTCGCCCGTCCTGCAGCATGTACCTCAGTCACACTTGGAATTAGATGTATTAAACAGTACATGAATAGCGGTTCGGGGATTTTCACTTTTACAAATCCGGGCACTTTTTCAGATAATTCTGTTATAACAAGGTACCATGCCCACGGTTCCAAACAGAAGCCAATTTATTTCCAGAGCAAAGCAAATCCTGTTTTTGTTTTTGATGCTGCTATTTGCATATAGCATGTCTGAGTTCTAAAAACCCAAACCATTCTAAAGGATTTCTATAAATACCTATTCTTCTCCCTCTGGAGTTCAGCCGCCAATTCATATCTAGAACTACATCATTTAAAGGTTATTTTTGACCACAGATGTTTTTAATTCCTGTCAAAATCTCACAGTACAGCATGTCAGAACTGCAGAAGATGTTTTAAAGCATTATCCTTACAAGTTTTATGAACGGCAGTCTTGTGCTGCAGGCGATGGACAGTATTTTAAGTGTTAAGCATTTTGTTTCAAACCATTCAAACTAACTCAGTTAGTTACTCAGTTAGTTACCAGATGAGCGGTTTGTTTGCAGGAATATCTTAGGGCTAGCAAAAATGACTGCAAAATACAAAATTCACCGTGAACAACCTAATAAAAGCTCGTTTTCATTCTCAGTACTTGTCAATGCTGAAAAGCAAACACTAAACTTGTGCATTATTCTGATAACTTCTCCCAACAACTTTTCTGCTTCGCTACCCAAATTTTCAATGCGCACAGTTTGTTCAAGGTCATAAACCCTTCCTGGATTAATTAAGACCCTCAGTGGAAAAAAAAAAAAAAAAAAAGGACTTGCTAGCTTAAGTGATGTGCTCAAATACCTTTAACACACACAGCAGATGTCCAAGGTCAGATACTAAAGGAAACAAACAACAACAACAAAAAAGAAGCTGCTTGGAAGTCCTTTGTTACTGCCTGACCTGCTCTGGATAGCAAGCACATGTCTGAAGGTGCCTCTGAGTAGGGGCAGGCAGGAGACGAATTCCAATGTGCTAACAGACAGCATGGAAACCCAATCTAATCTAGTTTAGCAAATTTCTGGCCTGGAAATGAATGTCAGGTAAAATTCCATCTGTTTGGATGATGGGGTCAAGAATAGAATGATGGAAGACAGCCCAAGACTTCTAATTGTGATTATCTGACTTCTAATTACCCCTGATCAAAGGCAGAATGGGAAATTGGACTCCTACCAACATAAACATGAACCATAAAGGAATTCCAATCAGGTGATATCCATTTTACTTTAGATTCAGCTTTCTGTGAGACTAAAGGTAAAAAAGTGTAATTATATAACCTGAAATCCAACAGACCGGCTGCTCTAGCTAATAGATAATCTGGGAGAACGTTAGCCATGCTGTTATAATGCACACTCTTAATATTTCAGCCACATCAGTATAAAGGGCTTCAGTCATGTAGGCTGACAAAGGGGAACCATCACTATGGAGTAACAAACTTCGCACGGATGCCAGCTAAATAGACACTGTAAGCAGTAGGCTTACATGGGCCGGCCTTATGGGAAACTGTCTTTGCAAGGGAATCACACTGTGTACAAAACCAAGCAATTTACCCTTTCCAAAGCAGTAGCTGTGAAAGATACTCTTATTCCATTACAAACACAACATATATCTACATTCAGTATAATTTTATGGTCCTCATTTTCTGTAGTAGTCTCTACAAAAACCTCCCAACTCTAGCTGCGCTAACAAGTAAATATGTTTAGCAGTAGAAGCTGGAAGATAGTTACTTCCTTTCAAAGGTCTTAGTTCTTTTTTAAGTTCTGGTCGTACAGGTTGTGGCCTTATGACGACCTTGGACAACAGAAAACAAATAAGCATTGGTTCTCTTCTTGCTAAATTTTCTTCTAAAAGAGCTGTCATCAAATAAGTCAAGTCATATAAGGACATGCTCTTGTTCTCCAAGGTGTGAGAGCATCTCCCTGAATGCTCTGTCAGGAATGATTACAACTACCTCTGAGTCAGATGCTGTCAATAGCAACAGCAAGCCTAGAGTTTCTCCTCAGTACCTCCTTCAGTCACCTTGCGCCAAGAAGAGGCCAATCATACGCTGATGTACCTACACTGCTCCCAAACTCACTGAAAGCATTCCATGTACATACCAAGCTGAACTGTGGGATATTTACAGCATTTAAGGTTTCTATAACATTTGACATTTCAGCACTGGATCCATACTACTTTAGCTGTGGTAACGTAAATGGCAAAAACAACGCACTAAATACTGAGGCATTGTGAAAGTGATCAAAATAATAAGCTGTGATATAATATTTGTCAGCAGTTGTTTCACATCGTTTATCTAACGTAAAATACTCTGCTGTGAGTAATTCATTATGATGCATTCACCTTTCCAGAAATCATTCAGTCCCGCCAACAACACCCAGTTACACAGAACTAGTTCAGATGGACCTGGACTGATAAAATTCTCTACAGATTTAAATTATTAAAGTGTAAAATTATGTAACAACATCTCAAAGATTCTGCCCTAACCACAGAGTTGTCTTTATTTGTCTCATTGTCCAGCATTGGGAGACCTCACAGGAACCTTTTAAAAGCATCTATTTATTGGTCTTCCACATTGTTGCAAAACAAAGCTCAACTCTGCCCCAACTTCACACACCATTATGACATGGATCATTGACTTTAGGTCTTCCTTGTAGGCTCCCTTCCTGGCCCATTCACTCATGAAAGGTTTATTGCTCGCTAGTTACTGATGTGCATCTCCTGGAAGCTGCAGGGCAAAATGAGAGTCCTGTGAGGACCATCTACCTTGTCAGAAAGTCGTGGGACAAGCATTTGTTCCAAAAAGGAATTCAATACCAGCTACTGTGCAGGTCTAGCACGTAATAAACCAAATTAGATCATTAGAACTCTTTTAAGAAGGGCTTTTTCACACCACTTGGCACAATAAAAGGCCTCAAGAATGGTCAAAGATAAGGTCAGAGATACCACGAGGTCCATTTATTGCAATCCCAGTAAGTATTTCCTCGTCTTTACTTTAATAGTTTTCTTTTGCACAGACTGCTGTTTAATTACCTACAAGCAAATACGGCTTTTGCAATCGTCCCAACTCGGCTCAGGGTTTCCTCTGCGCTGTCAGATACACCTCTCAAGAACACCAGAGCTGGACGTGGCGTTCCTATCAGCAAACTGCAGCACTGTAACTGCCGGTTATTAATGGCCGTAACGATAGCACAGAACGGGGACGAACACCAGCGAGCATCTTCAGGAAATGCACTCTGAGGTTTGACCTTTATCGAGATTTACTGCCAGATTAGCGACTGCGCAGCAAGCAGGCATTCGTTCTTAAACTCTAAGGCAGAAGGATCAACTGAGAAGAGTCACTTACCGGATCACATTTGATAACTTGTGATAGGAAATGTGTGAGGCATTGATAGGAGAGGAAAGTGTTAGTGTTCCCCAGATGCAGGCCTTGCACAGCTGCTACCACACTGCCAGCTGCGATCATGGAAGGTGGGTTTGAAATAAATTTAACATCTGTATGAAGAAAGAAGAGGGGAAAAAAAAAAAGAAAAAAAAAGACTGAAATGATTGCTGTAGAAGCCTGCCCATACGCATACGCTCTCTTCTCCCAGCATGGCTTCAGCTGCCAGCTGCTGCACCCAAACGCCGGTGCTTCCCGCTCCGAGCTGCCACAGGCCCCGACCTGCCAGCACTGGTCCGGGCGGGCAGCCCGCTGTGCACGACGCCTGGTGGCCCACCATCACCTGCAGACCTCAGTGTCCCAGCACTTTGCTTGTAATGGTGCAGCGCCGCAGGGGAAACCCGCTCCCATTCCCCAGTATTGTGCACCACCAAGCCCTAGGTGTGCTCCGAGCGGAGTCCCTGGGCCGTCTCAAGCACTGACATTCAAAGGAATATGGCTTTAATGAACAGCGACATCAGTAAAAAGAAAGGAAGAGAGAGACCGCTTAGCCCTGTCAGGAGGCAGATAATCCATATTTAAATTAAGGTTTCATCTTAAAAATGCTTTGTCTCGACCTAGTCTCTTGTCAGTGGCTGCCATCCATCCCGGCAACAGGGATTTAATGTAAATGTGGCATAACTAAGTGACGGGGGTCCCAAGAATTGGCGGACAATCAGTTACATTCTGATGTGACACCATGCTGACAAGAGGCTGGGCCCCCTTCCAGACTGCAGTGCTGTAGGTCTCTCCACAAAGCCACTCCCATGATTCCTTAAGGGGCTATCTCTGCCATTTAGCATGGTTTGGGTGCGTTTTTTAATAAGAATAATCCACGTTTTAATGCTAAGACTCTTTCCGCTGAACAGGAATGCGTTTGATGTGTGGCAGCATACACCTTGGAGGGGAATCGAAAAGAAAAGGAAAAAGCGGCGCAAAACAAACATCTGATTTTGTGAGGAAGAAAGGGAAATGCCACATTATACGCGAGAACCTGAGATACATTCCTTCAGCTTTTATCAGAACACAACTTCCTCTGGGCTGAAAAAATATAAACCATCTGTCAAACCCCTGAATGAAATCAAAGGAATGGACAGCTTAGAGAGCTCAGTGGAACAGTGTAAGTATTAAACCATCCATCTCCTTTATTATGGTAAAATAACTTTTGTGACAGTGTTTTACCAGTGCAACCAAAGTCTCCACCACTCTGTGGAAGTCCCCTCTCTGAATCTGTTCACGTATCTCTGACACTTTATTGTAGCCCAGACCGGTACCCACCTTCACAAGGGCATTTCGCCCCGCGCTCCACGAACCTTCACGTTAGAACTGATACGGTTAATTGTGGCCCAGCTTTTGTGATGCGCTGCCAGCAAAAAAGCCAACCTTGGTCTAAAGCCATCTCCTGCGCGCCACCGCGTTCAAAGCAAATGTAATTTGCCCCCTTTTCCTAACCCGCCCATTTCAGGACAGACGCTAAGTACACACACCTTGGATCAAGCTCCTGTCATTCCCCCAAATCAAGATAGTTACGGTTGGTTATTGACAACATGCGCCTTCCACAGATGGTCTCCCAGCTGAAACACTTAAAGGCGGTGGCAGGTGGGCTCCAGAAGCAAGGGCCTTCAGCAGGCAAACGTGAATCTCGCCATGATTTGGTTTCCAGCGGGATACGGCGGCAGTGACTTCACGCCAGTACTGACTGCTTTCCACGCACAGGACGTGGCCAAAATGTGTCAGTTTAATGAAGTCTGTCCTGACAAGATCATGTTTGGGATTAATATTTGCGTTCTTCTTTTAAATGAAGCAGTAAACAAGAACATGAATTCATAGTCACACCCTCATTCTTTCCAAGGTGGAAAAGTGATAATGAAGTTTAAATGACCAGTTTGTGTCTGTCCCTATAACCACTCCAGACAAGCAGCATGGACTGCCTTTTTGTTGCAACTCAACAAGGAATTATTTGTGGCAGAGGCCACTAATTTCAGCATATTAATCAGGGGGCCCCTCTCGCCTGTAATTGGATGCCCCCAAGTGAAGAGTGTGGCATCATTGTCAGCCTCCATCGCCTCATCTTGCGCTATTGAGCGCTCAGGAACAAGGGGGCTTCGGTGAGATGAATTAGACCTGACACAGCCACAATGGGGTAGGGGGCCCCATCAATTGAAGCACACATCCCCAGTAGCCTATCTGAGACTTCATCCAAAAAGAATAAACAACTTCAGCGTTGTTAAAAAGAGAGAGAGAGAGAGAGGGGAGGGGGAGGAGAGAGAAGAATGCCAGCCACCCTGAAGGGAGGACAAAGCAGGCATATAGGCGCTGCAGCGCTTTAAAAAAAATTCCTAACAAGGCGAGTCACCCCTTTTCCTTTTTAAATGGAGCAGCAGTTCCATCCGTCTGGAGAGCTGGGGGCTATGAATGAAAATCTTTTCATTGAGGCAAATCAAAACTGCGAACATAAATCACTTGCTGCAAGATGCAACAGGTTCCAACTGGTCACATACCTTGAGACTCCCAATTTTATAAAGGCCAGAGAATAGGAGAATTGTAACCCGGTTGTTTCAAAGCGAGATCTTTCTTTTTCCATTCGAGAGAAGGAAAGCAACAACAATAATAATGGCGATAATAATAATATAAAAGGAGCCCGGTATGTTTTGATAACCAGAGGAACATAATGAAATGCTGAAGCTCCAATATTTGTTGCTATTCATTGTTATGCTTGTATAGAGCCGCAGTTCTCCCTCAACGCTGGTCTTAACTTGGGCCAAAAGAGGCCTGCTTCCTTTTGAGCTATCCCTGCCTTGTTCGGCCATGCCAAAGCCCCATTCATTAAGCTCAATTATGTGTTAACTTCAAACAACCCCTGGTAAATTTTTTTTTCTCTTTTTCTCCCAAACCTACCACAGCACAAAGACATCCTTTGGTGAAAATGGATTTCTCGAAACTGAACCAAATCAAACAAATCCACTTCTACCAGCCAGGCAAGCGAAGAGAGAGCTCAGAAGGAATTCCCCTCCACTTCACCTTGCGACGTAACCTTCTCGTTCTGGAGCAAGCACGCATGCACACTCATCCACAAACACTTCCACAGCATTCACCTTGCTAAGCCAACTGGCAGAGATCTTACTTTTTAGGCCAGCATTATTTTGCTGCCTCCTCTCAGGAGCCCCTCCTTCAGGAGGGACACGGGCTGTGCACTTCAAGCAGAGGACATACTGAGCTCACCCCCGAGGCCACTTCAGCGAGTTTCACAGCGTTTCTAATGGACTTTGGATTGGGCCCCACAGCACAGCATCCAGGCAACACAAGGCATTTGCAGTCCATCTAGGTTCATTTTGGCAGGGGGAAATACAACTGCAAAGCAAAGTCCAGATGCTACTTAAGCCACATGTTATATTCACTAGCCAACAAAGAAGTTGTGGGGAAAGCAAGAGGTAGAGAAAATCCCAACATCCAAAAATAACAATAAAAATACAGAGCCCAGCGACAGCCCTTCTGTGTGCATTTTCCCCAGGAAATATTCCCAACTTGAGTAGGGAGCCAAAGAAGGCCCCAGTTCCGGTGAGCTCAGCACTGTTTTTCAAAAGCTAAGTAGAACTCCCAGAACATGGCTCTCATTTACTGATGCATTCTCCAGCTGTGGTTTGTACCAGCGTTAAATTAAGCCTCTAGATGTGCTTCCTAGAAGGAAATATAACAACACCAACAGTAGATCAAAGTACTGGACCCTTAGCGAGTCTCCAACCTTTGGACTACTCTTGTTTTCATCCCTGTCATTGCCAACACAACAACCTAGGTTAACTGTCCCCATATCCAAGGGGAGGCTGAGGTAGCATCAAAATCAGCAAGTTACACGTTCAGAGTCCCAGCAGCTTTACCTGGTGGGATCTGCCATGGAGAGCATGTCTGATTTTCCCGTGGTGCTTCTGCAGGTGGCGTGAATGCTGCTGGGGGGCTGCACGCCCCAATCCCGGAACAGTGCTTCTGCAGTGGGAGCCGCCCCACCACGCCGGGTGATGCCAGTGCTTATAGACGTCCCATGAGGGCTCGGTTCTGTCTCTGGGCCTCTATCAGTAGGCTCTGTGTAACCCGTGTTTTCTTCTCTTCTGAGTACCTGCAGATGTCTCTTGAATCTTTTTGCCAAGTCCGTATCTGGAAAACGAGCTCCCCTAACTGGGCTGACCACACATCCCACCAAGGTTTCCCAGGTGCCACTGCAGGCTTGATATCTTCCACACGGCCACTAACAAATATTAGCGTTTAATGCAGCACAGTATCTCCTTTGCACTACGTTTTATCGGTGCTAACAGCATCTGGCATTCCTCTTTACGTGCTACTGCAAAAGAACATTTGCTTTGGCTGCTTTTTCTTCCTTATTCCTTTGCCATTCGTGGATTTGTCTCGTCATACTGACAGCCAAGGCACCGAACGCGCCGCATTTGAGCAGAGGATCTATGTTCCCTCCAGGACTTCTTTTGTCCTGCTCCTCCGCTCCGGTCTGTGGGAACCGCGAGATCTGGAGGACAGCTTTTCCTTCCCGCTCTGCCAGGGTTCAGCGGGTGAAGCCGGCGCACGCACAAACGCACACACACACTCCGCATGCAAACACGGAACTTCAAAGCCACGGCGCGCACAGGCACGGTGCCCTTGAAACCAACGATCGGGGCCCTGCGGACCCAGCCTGGCGAGCGCCTGCACGGGGCCCTGCACATGGCTCTGCACATGGCTGCGGCGCAGCACGTGGCCGGGGCGCAGATGGCAGCGCCGGGCCCGCGCCAGCAAAGCCTCCGCACCGCGTGGCTCCTGCCACTGCCGCCAGAGGGGAAGAGGCGGCTCGGGAGGGAAGTTTCCAAACCCCCACACAGAGCTGTTCCCTCTGCCTATGAAGTTGTCTTAGGACTGATCCGCAGGCAGGATTTCCCCGTGTGAGCAGCGAGCCTCTTGCTGCCCCAGCACTGACAAAACCCAGTGCGTGGAGGCGATGGGATTGCGCCCTGCAGCATGCGCCCCGTGCTGCTGCACAGAGAAGAGCGGTGCTTCTCCCCCGGCCAACTCAGAAGTATCTTCTGAAAACGCTTACCTGTGCGGAGTAATCCACCTTCTACAAACAACAAGGGCAATAACCAGGGCTTAAGCTCCCTCCCCACAGCCCCGAGAGCCCACGTTAGCCATAGCCAAGAGCCAGGGCCAGCTGTGCGCAGGGGAGCGACGCGCTTTGCGGAGCGTGCAGGGCTCATACCTGTAGCGCACAGAGCCACAAAAGTCTGAGCATGTTTACGGATGATCTGTTTGGTGTCCTCTGCCAGAGGCATTTTAGTGAGGAAATGTTCAATGAAATCGTGGGGGGTCATTGCAGCCAGATTCCATTTCAGCTTATTCACCAGCAGCAGCTCCATTTGCTGCAAAGACAAAAGGGAGGAAGGGGGAAGAAGAGGAAGAAACGAAGAGAAAGCGCGGTTAGCCCCGGTGGTGCACACGGGGTCGCGCAGCACCCGCACCCCGCTACCCACGCCCGGCCCGGCGGAGCCCTCCCGCGAGGGTCGGCGCGCCCGGGGCCGGACCGGGCGCCCGCCGCAACCCCGGGGAAGCGCCGCACCCCAAACAGCCGCCAGGGGGCGCCCAAGTCGCGCCTCGCCGCGCCGGCTCCGAGCGGGGAAGCCTCGGCGGGGGGCGAGGGGATCCGCCGCCGTTCCGCAGCCCCGCGGAGACGGGGCGGTGTGCAGGCGGGAGGATGCGGCCCTGCCAGGCCCCGAGAAGGGGCTTCCCCATCAGCGTGCTTGGCGGGGGGGGGGGGTTTTCTTTTTTTTTTTTTTTTTTTCCTCCTTTTTTTTTTTTTTTTGGCCTGAGGTGATTAAATATGCAATTACCAGTAACTCGTCGGGTCTGATGGAGTTGTCGGTATAAATGCACAGTTTTTCCGCGGTCAGAGGAATCGTTTCCTTCATTTTGGAAGCCACAAACATGCAGGTAGCTCCGAGCAATTGCAACCGGCTTTTCTTGAGGGGTTCGAACGACAAAAATCTGTCCAAATAATTCATCGCCAAGGGGAAAACTTCCTCTTCGCACTTCTGCTCCTCGCAGACCTGCGGGAAGGACGGAGATCGTTTAACAACAAATTCGGCATCGGCGCAGAGCGGCCCGTCCCTCCCCCACCCGGGCCGTGCGGGGCGAGGTTGCGGGGGGAGTGAGAAACGCGGCCGGGAAACGGGGGAAGAACGGAGGTGCGAAGGAAAATGAAAGTCACGGGGGCCAAGCGGGGGAAACGCGGCGTTCGAACGACTCGTGGGAGGAAGGGGGGTCGGCGCGGAGGAGCTCGTCGTCCCCGCCGCGGCGGCCCCCAAAACGAACAACGAAAAAAGCACAGAAATGGGAAAGCGCAGGAAAACGCGGGGGCAGCGGGAGGAAGAGGGGGGGGCCGGGCTGCCCCGGGGCTCGGCCGTTCCGCCTTCGCACTGCCCCCCGTTCGCTGCGGTGCCGCGATCCCCGCTCCGCTCGAGACACAAAGGTGGCGTCCAGCCGCATTTCCCCAGACGTCATCTTTTCAAAAAATATTTAAAAATATTTAAAAAATCCGCCGGGCTCCGGAAAAACGCTGAAAACGAAGCGGCGGGGGTCCTTTACCGAGCCCCGTGGCCGGGGTCCGCCGGGGGGGTCCCGGGGAGGCGCCCCGAAGTGGAATTCCCCGCGTCCCTCTGCCGCCCGCGGCGCGGCCGGGCGCGACGTTTCCCAGAGCGAGGCACGGCGCCGCGCTTTCAAAAATTAATTAAAAATAGATCCCGAGCGCCCGGCGCTTCGGAAACGGCACGAAAACGTAGCCCGGCTCCCGGGGCGCCCGCCGGGGGCCCCCCCAAACGCGTCCCGCGCGGGCCAAGGCCCTTTCCGACCCGCTTTTCCCAGGCGACCTTGCAGATCGCCGCCCGGCACAAGCGCGCCTTTGAGGGGTGACCGCAGCCCGAGCTCTCTTCGAGCCGAACAAAGAAACTTTCACCCCGCGGCTCCCCCCGGCAGCGCGGAGCCCCCCGGCCGTGCCCTGCCCGCCGCCCCAGCGGGGTCCCCGGCCCCCCCC